TCGTATTTGAGACTGGCCACGTGGAGCTTTTCGGGTTTCTTCAAGTTTGTAACACCTAAATGGCCGCAGAAATTCCTCACGGGAAACTTCTCCCCTCTACGTATACAAACAAGCAAACAAACAAACAAAACCACTAAACACAGGAAAGTTCCTACCACCGGGTTTGGCCACGTGGAGCTTTCCGGGTTTCTTCATTGGCCAAAATAACACCTAAATGGAAGACAGTTTCCATTAAGTTCTTCTGGAGACAGTACACCTTGGCAGATTGCCCATGTGTTGCTTTACCGTATCCTTTAAAGATCGACCAAAAAAAAAACATGTAACTTAACTGGTGAAGACTATAATTATATTGTTATAAACTCTTCCATTCATCATTAATTAAATGGCGCAATTCAGACACGTATTTCTTCTATAGAAATACAAAATGGCGTATGTTAACTGCATACTAACTGTTGACTTTATCATTAACTAACCATTTGCAACGGAGAATCTGAGAGAATTTCCAGTTGACAAATGTCATTTCCTTTTCTCATTTCCATAGATCTATTATATTCTCCCGAATCTTGTTTTAAACTATTACACGGTCAAACAATTTCGATTCAAATATTAACCAGAAGCACGAATGAAATGTTTAAATCTTCGAAAGAATATTATCTAATTATAAACTTGAGTTCTCGTAATTGAATTCTAAAGTATGTAACGGCCATCAGTTTTGTCACTTTAATTATCTATAATTTCAACAATTAAACTTTATAATAAATGTGTGTAAAATATATTTGTAAACTAGAATAAAAAAGATTTTTTAGCATTTTTTTAAAAATAATTTTCCGCTTAAAATATATTAAAATAATGCTTTTTTTGAACGTCAAAATTAATGTATTTAAAACTGTTTTAATGTCACTTTATATTTGTTTGTCTACGTGTGTTGAGTGGGTGCGAGTGTGTTATATAGAAACGTTAAATATGATCGAATGAGTGAGTATGAGTGAATGTTTAAGAGCATATGAATATAGAAACATGCAATATATAAGCACACACATTTCTGCACGTATTTTACTAATGCTTCATGTGGTAACATAAAGCTACCATAGCTTTACTAATGCTTCATGTGGTAACATAAAGCTACCATAGCTTTACTAATGCTTCATGTGGTAACATAAAGCTACGCTTCATGTGGTAACATAAAGCTACCATAGCTTTACTAATGCTTCATGTGGTAACATAAAGCTACCATAGCTTTACTAATGCTTCATGTGGTAACGTAAAGCTACCATAGCTTTACTAATGCTTCATATGGTAACATATAGCTACCATGAAGCATTAGTGCACAACAGGTGAACACAAGCGCACACACTTCTTTATGAGTGCACACAGGCGCACACACTTCTCTGAACATATCACATTATCTGCATGCATTTTTGATTAATTTTACGTATCAGTCACATGTCAAAAACAGCTTAACGTGTCCTTTTTCGTACCAAAAATCTGTTATTTTCATGCGATTACATATATCGATTTTTCAAAGCGGAAACGTAAGTAATAAACATTGTCTACCATCAATATCACGTCCCTTTTTTTAATCGTAATTAGACGGGAAAAATTATAGAATCGTTATATTAAAATTCCTACTTAAATCTAAATAAAATTAATGTAGTAGCTATGATACTACAGTAAAACTGTGTAAAACGGAATCGTCCGTTCTGAAAGGTGTCCGTTTTAGACAGGTTTTATTGTATTGCAACCATACGCAACCCAATTTCTTATAAATAAAATATGCTTTTACACTTTTAAATAATTTATTTTATTTTAAAAAATAAAAATGGTAATGTTCCATACACAAATGAGACTGGTCAATGAATAAAAATGAAACCGTATTAATCACTTATTTGGAATCAGAGAAGCGAAAATGATAAGTTGGCATCATACACTACCCTCAATTATCATAACATTAACAAATTATACCTTAGAGAGAAATTAAAAGTTAGGAAAACGAAGAAAAATTGCATTACCGATTGTTACGTGCTTCCTTATTAAAGAGTAAGGGATAATAAAACAAATATGACTTATCTAATGCTGTAAACCACTCCTCTGAATATTAAATAACCTGTTTTTTTTTTTTTCTTTTTAACTCAAGATGCGTCTATTTAATGTTATTATATAGAAATCATTACTTTAACTCTTAAAGAAGTCAGATAATCCCAATTAAATTCAAATTCTTTAAGTTAAATTGTAGAAATTTAAGGGTAAAGGAGCATCATTTCTACTTTTCAGAAAATCCAATTACTTTTTTCTAAATGCAATAATTATTAATAAACTTTATTTTTCAATATTATCAATAATAAAGCTATGATGACTTAATAGGATCATGTAAAACATCACAGCTTTACTGCTGTTTCATTGTACTTTAAATCTATTAATTCTTCATGTGATATCATAAAGGCACCCATAGCTTTACTACTGCTTCATGTGGTAACGTAAAGCTACCATAGCTTTACTTATGCTTCATGTGGTAACATAAAGCTACCATAGCTTTACTAATGCTTCATGTGGTAACATAAAGCTACCATAGCTTTACTAAAGCTTCACGAAGTAACATAAAGGTGCTAGATGGTTTAATTAAGAAGAGAAAATTTAGATTTGTAGTTTTTTCCTATCAAGAAAAACCCATTTTACAAAATCTTTCAGATAGTGCAATATTTATACTGTATACAACACACAACCTAAAATATATCCTTTCATTCAACTTTGATAGTTAAATTCTAACAGTTTTGTCCTAAACAACTGGCATTTATCATCTAAATGTGAAAATTTTTCATACTAAAAAATGCTAATAAATTCTATCATATAAAAATGTAAATTTATGTAAACAACAAATAGTAGCATTATGATATTACATTTACATTATTTATTTGAAAAAATCTAATGCATAAACACTAGAATAAACTTCAAAATGTGATATATTAATATTCCTTACTGTTATATTATAATAATAATAACTTATACTGTATATTATTCATACATTACAACTATTAAATTCTTACTTACAGCTTTTTATCTTCACACTGTTTTATGTATTTGAAATTTACTAAAGTTATTTCTATGTTTATTATTATTTAAAATATACTGATTTATTAAAACTGTAAATATTTTATATTAATAATATATAGATATATAAGTAATTAATAACAAAATATTTTCCTACACAAAAGTGAATATAAATTAAGTATTTTTAATTAAACGATTCAGTATTAAAACAATAATAATTCGTTTCCATCTGTTTTGATTTTACAATATTTACAACTGTATCAATCTAAATGTGATATAAAAGCAAGTTTACAAAAATTACATATAAGAATAAAGGTTCTATTGCATTACATAAATGTAAGAAAGGGATCGAGACCCAAAATCTATGGCTTGCCCATGGATTTTGGGTCTTGTTCCCTTTCTTCATGTATATAATGGATTTACTGTGGAGACAGATGGGATCCTAAATCTACAGCTTGTACATAGATTTAGTAGCTTGTCTCCAAAATCTTTGAAAAAATACACTAATAAAATTAATAAACTGAGTTAAAACAGATCTTTTTCTCTATTTTATCAAAAGAAATTCTAGCTCATATCATTTCGGTATATTTTTTTTGTAAATAAAAGACAAGATTTTGATAATACTTGCTAAATATCTTCAGTTGTCCTTTCCGATTTTATATTATTACTGTATATGTTTTAATTTTCACATTAATACTGGTATTAAATACTTAATAATAATTAATACTAGTATATAAACTGATTAAGTCAATACGCCATTCATATCATGTAATTATTACATATAATCAGCTTACTAACTGATGAGAATAGTCAAAAGGCATTATTAATCCTTCATGAATACATGTTTAATAAGATTTTATTAAAGTTTTTAATTATTTTCTTCAATAAACTAATAAAATAGCTAATTTCAAGCTCCCTTTTCCCTCATAAAACATTTCATATGATTAATCTTCCCATTTTTCTTACATCTTCTACAAAATATACACAGACTGAGATTATAATTAGAATTTTAAAAAATATAAGTAGATAATTTATTTTCTAATCTAATTAAATTGAGAGTAGACGTAACAATATTTTACTGGTGACAATATAAGAAGGAAGACTTTTAATTTCATTGAGAGACATTGGTAAAAGCAGTGCCATACATAACAGGGATTAAGTCATTCTTTCACATCAAATGATATTAATTCAATTTTCGTTGAAGTGAATATTTTAAATCTAAGGTTATTAGAGCGTTTTCCTGTACAATAATCTTAAATCCGCATTATTTAATCGCGTCCAGATCGCTCCTAATTCACTCTAAAGACAAGTCTCTTCGGAGATAAACAGCTTTCCTTTGTAAAGCCACAAATGTTTCTCCCTCCATATCTTTCCTCCGACGCATTACAGAATGTATATAGTACGAGATTCTGTAATGGTTTTAACTGGAGAGCTGCAGTCAAAGCGGGTACCACATAATTAATAACACCCGCGGGGCATACACGTATTCAAATACGGCAGAAACCATACAAATAGTCTTAAGTGCATCGCGTCATTACAGAGGTTTAGTAATAGGCGGCTGAAATCCTCCCCCCGTTATCCCCCGTTTTGCTAGGCTTGTCGCCCTGATAAATAGCCCAGTCGAGCACTTACTTCCAATCCCCGCTTTCTCCCGTCCCCCCCCCCGCTTTCGGAGTAGAAGGAAAGGAAGGGGGGTCTGCTCCGGTCTAGAGAGCGTCAATCTCTAGACAAACTTGTAAATGGATTCTAATGAAAAGCCTTTCGCCGAGATGGCATCTACATAATGAGCCCATTTACCCGAGGTTTATCTCGACAGAATATACATTTCCTGACTGTTTACTTCTCTAGTGGGACCCGACTGGCATCTTTCACTTTACTATATTCTTCCGAATAATTTTCTTTAATAAAATCGTGCGGAAAATTAGGGGAATAGTCAAGTGATGCGGGTGCCTTACCTTCGATCCGGAACGGGCGATGGTACCCAAACTATCGATCATCTCTTCTTTGGTCATCCCTACGCCGGTATCCTAGTGAAAAAAAAAAATTTCGTCAAAAAGATTTTTAAAAAATACCCAAAAGATGAGACGTTACGGATTAATGGAGCGAACTTTAAAAAAAAAATAAAAAAATCTGGTATTTTGTTGTATGTTCAACGCTAAGCTTTCAAGTTCCCACGCTATCCATGCCCTTGCTTTGCCACACTATGCGGTATCGGTCGGTCTGCATACATTCCTCTGACGGTTAGTAACCCCTGCTACAAGTAAAGCCGGCAGCATGAGAAAGTTTGAAACCTCTTCCGGGCAACCCCTGACAAAGTTTTTCCGGGAATATGAACTATGAAACGAATTATCCTGCCATAAAAAAAAATCTGAAAAGGTAATTCACGTCGTGATCTAGCGGAATTCATCAGCAAATTTTCGAGAGAATTATACAAAATTCTACCAGTTTCTTTAATTTTTTATGACTTTTTAATAACAAAAATCAAGTTAAATTGATTAATAATGGCGATTTTAGATTAGGCGAAGCCCTCCATAAGAGAGGAATCGCGAGGGTCTTGTTTAATGTAAATTTCTTACTGAAGGATTTAAAAGCGGGGTCCTAGGATTTAGGATCGAAAATCCTGAAATTCGATCGCAATCCGGCGACCAATATAGAGTATCGATAAGAAATGATTGAGGTTCCTGAAAGCGCGAAGTACCCAAATAAAATACTGTTCAATGCTCCAATGGTTCTTAACGAAGATAATTTTTGGGTACTTCAATTTAAATAATGAAAATATAAAGTAAATATTAAAATTATATATCGAACAGGTCCTTACCTGAATAGTAAAAGTACGGGCCAGCTTATCAGTTGCTATATGAATTTCTAAGTTGGATTCTTTAAATTCGTGGTCTTGGGCAGATGACGAAAGTTGATTGTAACGAAGTTTTTCCAAAGCATCGCTAGCATTCGATATTAATTCTCTGATGAAAACCTAAATAGAAATCAAACAGTTTATAAGAACGGCAAAGAATTGCACTCCTAATAAACGTCATTAATTAAGGATTTTGCAGAATCCTCAATATCGCTTTCAATTTAACAAAACCCTGATAACAGTTTGTTCGATTCTACAAAAAATTAATTACTGTACAAGATCCATTCTTGTCCATAGGATATTTAAGGATAGGACGTAAGAGACTGAAGACATGTGTACACTATGGATATCCTATGTACCCGTATCTATAGTGTATTCTAATATATCTATCATAAGAGATCCCATTCATATGGTATAACTTATCTATGGATACTCTATAAGATAGGATAGGATCTACGTTATTTAAGCAGTTTATTAATAGTTTTTAAATGAATATTTATTTTATATAAATAGTTTTATTATTAAGCTTGTAAAGTTCCTTAAAACTTATCTAATTACATAACTTAAACCCCACTTTTACGACATAACTGCTTACTCAAATGCTATCGAAAAGCGAGTTGTATAAAAAAGAGAAAGAAAATCATATATTAAATTAATATATATATATATATAAACGAATTTATTAACGAAATTTGAAAACATATAGGTGATATTTATTAAATTAAGAGACTTGTATGTGTGATAATATATAAACACAGTACCATACTATACTTATAACAGCATAAGATATACAAAAACAGAACACTTAGTACATATAAAGTATTTCAGTACAAAAAAATATATATTATTCTAAAAGTTAACTTCAGAATTTATGGAAACAGAGACGTAAAAACGGGGTTAGTAAAGACGACCCCGCTTTTACGTCTGATATTAATTTTCCTATTATTATTTTAAATTTTAATCCAAATTTCAAGACAAAATACTTTCCAAAACTCCAGACAGTTCGTTGTTTTCAACAAACTTCAGTTAATTTCAAAGTTTAGGCGTTTATAATTTAGTAACAAAGTTACATTTCCTACGAACAATGCTACAGTTTAATATACAAATTGTTAAAGTGGGCCAACTTTAAAATTCAAAAGCATTCATGTTAAGTGGGATGTTTGCGGTGCATTTACACGATAACTACGTTTAAAACGTGATATTGGTTTACACGAAGTAAATGCGTTAAATCGAATTAAAAAAAAAAAAAAACATAGAAATCTAGAGAAAGGGAGGGCGAATTTCGTACAAAAAAATCGAAATTTTTAACGCTTTATACGGGTGCTAATGATGCTATATGTAATAATCATATCTACGCTCTTGTTAGAGGGTGACGTGTGTAACAAGAGCACGTAACTTATTCCAGAAACGTCATTCTAATGATGATGTAACTAATTTAGCATCACGTCTAAGCGAATTTTATGGAGTAATTATAGATTATGATCCGATATAGAGTCATTATGTTTAGATAATGTGTTCAATTCATAGTTAATATCAAACAGAGAGCTTCAATTAATTAACGAAAGTAACAGAAAATTTCGCGGTAGAAAAGTACAGAATACCCTCGATTTAACGGACTTTCCGTGATGGCAGACATGCCAATTCGTACGTTAAATCGAGGAACTAAAGTATTTACTAAAATTACATTGTATCGAGTATTGAGAATATAAACAGGAACAGAGAGTGTAATGAGACCAGAGACAGTCGCATTATGCGGACAGCGCTATATCAGAGTTTTAATGTATCAATAGATGATGCCAGCAGACCACGTTACGTATTGTTCGAACAGAGTAAATCCGGAAATTTTAATTCTTTGTGTATATATGAAAGTAATATAAAAATGCCCATATTAACTTATATAACACCACCCTCGTAAAGCGCTAACGAATACTGTCGAATGGAACTTCCGTATGAATATCCAGTAAAGAACCCTTTGGTATCTGTAAATTACTAAACTGTAAACACCAAAACACATGACTTTCAAACTCTCAAAGTTGTCTATAGACTTCGATACTACGTCTAATTCATATTGCCTGAGGTACTGTACTTCAGTTTAGCGCAGCACTGAAGTGCCAATTTTAGAATAGAAGAAATGGTGGCATTAAATCGAGGTCTGACTGTAGTTAGCCCACTTTACGAGAGATAGTGTTACTCTGCAAATAAGTTAGTACTAAGTACTGCGTAAGTTTCTTACAATGTTCTAAGCTCTCCTCACACTGTTTTAAAAGCTTGTGATTCCCTAAACGTTCATGGCACTATTTTATACCTTTCTTGAAATATATGTAAAAAAAAAATAGTGATTATTGACAGTAAAAAAAACGAGGAACAAACTCTAAACTCCCTTCACAACAAACTAAAAAGAAAAAAAAATCTACACTCAATCATTAGATATATTCGAAAACGTTGAGGGCAAAATAATTTGATGATCGTCAACACGTCATTTAACACAATCATTTTTTATCGTATTATTTATAAGTAATTCAAAATCGTCATTATTTATCAGCTTAAATTAATCTTCGCCATCATCAATCCACTAAATCTGCCTTTGGGCGTTCAGATGTTACGTAAAATTTTAATTTATTCCACTTGAGAATGCACTTAAAATTTTATACCTGTTTAAAACCTGTTAACAACGACCACAGACGGGAACGTAAAACTTGCCGTCGTTCGGAGGTGGCCGTTGTTAGGAGGTTCGACTGTATTTGTATTGTTTTAGAGGGATTTAATTTCTCAAATTTCTCACGTCGTCAACTGATCTTGGGCCTTGTATAATGCTATGTAAGGTGTAAAGTCTGTTAACCTTTGACCCTATATTTACAAAAAAACAAAAGGATCTATCATAACTACATTATTTTATAATTAAATATATATTTTTCTATTTTCATAAAATACTTTCTTAATAAGATGCAAGACATGTTTAAGAGGCGGAGGAAGAAGAGGAGGAGGAGGAGGAGGAAGAGGAGGAAAACATTTGCATCCTATTTAATGAATTAAATATAAATCCGTACTTCATATATATGAATTTTAAAAATTTAAATAATAAAATTTTATTATTTTTATTATAGTTTTTTTTAATCAACATTTCAGGAAAATATCTTAATAATTTCGCAGTTAAAACTACAGCAGGAAATATCTTTAAATATAATACTAACAGAACATATTAATAGCCTAGGGGTAAAAGCAAAATTAGTAAGTTAAATTACAGTCGACACTGTATACAACGGCCACTGACGTAAACATTAAAAAATAATAGTTTATGAAGGTTATTTCGTATGCAATTCAAAAAGAAACGATGCCAAAATAACGGCCGTCGTTTAGAGGTCTCCGCTATTACAGGTTCGACTGTATAATAATATAAAAATGTTAACTAATTAATGACAAGTCAGTGTAAAAATTCATCGCAATCGATCTTAAACTAAAAATAAAATAAAACCTGGATAAAACGGAAACCTGCCTAAACGAAAAAAATTCTTCGAAACGGAGCGATTTTCTGTGTTGAAAAAGAACATGTTTAAAACGGAAACCTGCCAAACCGGAAAAAAATATTCGATATCGTACGCAGGTTATTGTATTTAATTAAACATAAGTCAAAATACAATATTGCGATTTACTTTAATAAAATTATCCCAACTATTCCCAAACGGTCTTTACACACATTTATCGACCCCCCTCCCGATAAATCGATTGATCGCACGAGCAGGGGTGGATTCAGGAGCAATTCCCTAATTCGTATAATAAAATAAACAATTGTTTTAATTATTAAATCAATAAACTAATTTCATGCCCCTATCCCCCTCCAGATCATCCCTGTCCTTGAGGCAGATTGGCAGTAAAATAAAGTAAAATCCTAAAGCAAGAGGAGCCTGATCGTATTATGCGTGGTAAAAACCTGTGTAAAACGGAATTGCGTATTTTTACGGTTTGGACGGTTTCCGTTTTAGACAAGTTTTTAACAATAAAATTCGCTCCGTTCTAAAGAATTTTATCCGTTTAGGCAGGTTTCAGCTACCGTTTTGGACAGGTTTTACTGTAAATGTAAATAAATATATACATACATGCAAAGTAATTGAAATTTTACTGGAGGAATTGCCTTATTTTAATTGAATTCAGATCCTTTAACTTGTAAGTTTCGTACAGAAACAGCAAACCTACTAATTACGTAAGGATTGCAGTTTTCCTAATAAAGTTAGGAACGTTAATGATCCGATTCTGAATAAGTTATGCTCGAGAAAGTGTGCGACAACTTCCCGAATGATATTAATCTTTAGTTACAACGCGTGCGACATAAGTATGTATTTATTGTGAGTCAAGAAAGAAACGAGCTGTCCAGCAATGTCTGGACAGGAGACAGACCTGGTCACTTAATCACTCGCCAGCTTCATTAACGGAAGTCCAGACAACTATCGAAGGGAGAATGTGACAGTGAAACATTACTACCACTAACCCGACATCAAATGGGCCGTCCACTCCGCTGTAACCAAGTGTTGAGACATTCATGTGACTTTTCAACTAATGGCAGCCAACTTCACTCCCTCTTACATACGAAGACTCCATTGTACAAGATGCTCGAATCGAAAATTTTCGGTTATTAAAATGAGTAGCACAGGTTAGGCGTTAACTGCACTTTCTGTATCGAAAATCGCTTCGGTAAGTTCTGAAGTCCCATCGTGTTGCAAACGTTGTTTAACGTGATTTGACGCGTTTTAAGTGATTAAAATTGGGTTTTTAGTTTTTAAAATGTCGCGTTAGATGAGGGTGTTTCGTTTTTGGACGGGGTAGAGCGTCGATTTAAGCGCGAAATCGCTTTTTGCGTGGTTTTTAAAGCTCTGAAGTTCCCACGCGTTGCAAATGTCAATTACGGGTTTTACATGATTAAAATGGATTTTTAATTAAAGAATGTGGTGTTTAAGTAATACATTTTGTTATCAAATGGGAAAAATTGTTAACTTTAGTGTAAAAATCGCTTCGTATGGTTTGATTTAATTATTTATATACGGAAACGTGACACGTGGATGATCTTCCGAGGGGGGCGCTTCCCGAGAGCCTCTATTTAGGTGTTATAAACGTGAATAAAACACGGG